TCGTAGTGAATTTAGGTCCAAACGATCAACCTACGTCATACGAATCTCAAACATGAATTCAGGACATCTAATTTAGCCTAAAAATAGCATTGACGGCCCTTTGGCCACGCACCGCCACACGCACTACCGTGGGTGGCGATCGGTCGTCCCAGCTTGCCGGAAAATTTAACTATTTCCAAAAATTCTCAAATTTTACAGAAATGAAGATTTCAAAGAGTAGAGCAAACTTTATACTTGTGGCCAAGTCCAATTTGGTTGGGAAAAGCCCCTATTTCATCCAAACCCATTGGAACCCTAGAAATTAGGTGACTTCGATTCAGCTTCACCTGTGCTTCGCCGCCTCCAAGGTTGTTTAGACTTTGTTCCTGAGCTCAAGGAGAGTCTAATGGTGGCGCAAATCAACGGAATTTCATTCAAAATTGGCGGATTTTCACCAAGCACCTCACGGTGCCGTCGCCACCGTAAACCCTTAAACAAGCCTAATCCCATCGAATATTTGATAATCAATGAAGAAGGAATGGGATGGTGTTTGCAGGTGATGACAAGGTGTGAATTGCTAAAAAACTGATGAAAAATGGTCGGAAATCATGCGGGTTAGATGGGGAATGCGGGTTAACCTGTTTTCCCCCTTTTCTTTTTCTCTCATTTCCCCTCCTTTCCTTCCTTTTAATTGGGCAGCCTATTCCCCCTATCTCTCATTTCTCTCCTTCCCTCTTCATCTCAGCCACACACGTGGCACTCCCATTGCTCTAGATTTTCTAGAGCCTTCTCAATTAATGGGAAAATATCTATTTTGCCCTCGACTTCGATTGTTAATAACTTCTTCATTATAACTCTGTTTAATGAACGGTTTTCGCCTATGCGCTCGTAGGATCAAACTCTATCCAAATATGTCAAGAAACATGACAAAATATATAAGGATAAAATATGTCCTCGTTAAATTTGGAGACCTGAGATTTTATGAATGGAAGCGGGCAGAGCTATGAGAGTCGCAATACTCTTCTTCAAAGACATGTTTTATAGTTTTGGATAATGTATTTGTCCCTTGTATTATCAGTTTGTTCAACTTCAAACTCTTCTTTGTAAACTCCATGTAAGGATGAATATATAGAAGCAAAAGATTATCGAGCAAAAGTTGCAAAATAATATCCAATCTTCACTTTCTATCTTGGTATCATCTTTCCTTCGTCCTACGACTCAAAACACATTTCCAAACCCTCATGGCTTTAAACGCTGCAAACACCATCTCCCACTCCAACGTGGCCAATTTTCTTACTATAAAATTAGACCGCAACAATTATCCTTTATGGTGTGCACAATTTATCCCACTTCTCCGAAGTTGAAGCATGCTTTCTTTGATTGACGGCTATAACAAGGTGGTTCAGCTTCGTGGGGAGCTCTTGAACTAGCGCCGTGGTGACCTTTCCATCACGGATTTTTTAGACAGAATCAACTCGCTGCTGATCAGCTCGCCCTCTCTGGTTCTCCCATCACTGATGAAGATTTACTACAATTATGAACAATGTGGGTCCGTTGTATGAAAATACTATTGCATCCATTCAGGCTCATGAAACGCCCATTTCCTATGCTGCTCTTGGGCAAAACTATATTCAATCTTCACCTTTCTATATTGGTACCATCCTTCGTTTGTCCTACAACTCAAGCACATTTCCAAACCCATATAGCGTCACAATTCATCCCACTTCTTCGAAGATGTGGTCTGCTTTCTTTCATCGACGGCTCCACTATCTGTCCAGGAGCCACATTGTAGCGGGTTGTACAAGTGGAGCACGAGAAGAGTTTGAGCAGCGTAGGCCGAGAGACGTGCAGGGGGAACACGTGCGATTAAAACAATCAAGGGCCAAGTGTCCATACCTTCAACATATCTCATTGAATCCTACTGCCCATGAAACGATCATTGGTGGAGGATGGCAAGCTGTTGGGAGCAGCACCCAAGAGACCAGGGCGTGGATTAGAGCTTGAATACGAACCAGAGGAAGAACCACCAAAGAACCTCCACGGGAACCAGAGAAAGAGCCTTCATAGGGAGAAGAGAAAGAACCTCCACGGGAAGGATTTGCAGAGACACGGCGACCACAAGTCGCAGCTATGGTGGTGACTCCAGAATCACCAAGAAGAGTAACGTCAACTGTTAACATTCAACACTAACCAACACGCTCCAAGAGCAGCATAGGAAATGGGCGTTTCACGAGCCTGAAGACCCACATTGTTCATAATTGGAGCAACTAAATCATCATCAGTGATGGGAGTGTTATGATATGAATGATTTCCTTCCTATTTGGTAGCATGGTGATCGTTGACTATCAACGATTTATTCTTTTCCCTTTGTAAAAATATTTACTTAGCTGATTTGTAGGAATTACGGGATGTGATTGTATCTTTACAGTTTGTATAAGAACTCTAGCCTACTTTGTATATTTCAATGATCAATACAGAAGATTATTCATACTGCCATTCTATTCTGAAGTAGCCACGAAGGGCAAGCTGATCAGCCAACGAGTTGATTCCGTTATAAAAATCCCTGATGGAAAGGTCACCACGACTCTGGTTCATGAGCTCCCCCACGAAGCTGAACCACCCTGTTATGTGAGGAAGATGCATACCTCTCTAACGGAGAGAACATTGGGCGTTCGAGAGCTCGCTAACCATGAGAGAACAAGCTGATCATGCTGGATCCCTTCATCATCAGACAGGAAGGCTGGAGGACAAATAGTGGAGCCTTTGACAAAACAAAGCAGGCCACGGCTTCAAAGAAGTGGATGAACTGTGCACACCATAAAGGATAATTGTTGTGATTCAACTTTATAGTAAGCAATATTGCCATGTTGGGGGTGGGAGATGGTGTTTACAAGGGATAAAGCCATGAGGGTTTCGAAATGTGTTTGAGTCATAGGACGAAGGAAGTGATGATTGAATATAGTTCTGCTCAATAATCTTTGCTTCTGTATATTCATCATTATATAGAGGTTACAAAGAAGAGTTTGAAGTTGAACAAACTGATAATGCAAGGGATAAATACATAATCCAAAACTGTAAAATTCAAGTAATAGCAAGACTATGACTGAACTGCATCTTCGAAGAAATCAAGAGAATCTTGCGGGAGACGTTGTGAGGATGAGATGTTTGAATTTCCTCCTAACGGGCTGTGCAGAGAGCATTCGAAGACCAAAAGCTAGGTGGGTTTGCCACCTACCTTACAAGGTAGGGCACTCTTTCCCTTGTCAACAAGTTTGATACAGTCCTGGCCTATCGTTTTCGTTAATTGTCTTTAGCGGGTATTGGCCTAGTTCCCCAACTTGGTGTTGGGGGGGGTGGTGGTTGTGGTTCTCGAACTCACACTCTGCGCAGTAGTAGAACCAATGCTTTGGATCTCACTTTCCTTTGCACATTTCACAGTAATGTTCGTCATCATCACCTGGATTGTTTCCATATGCACTTCGAAAGAAATAGTCAAATTCATCTTCGTAACTAGGTTGAGTACCATAGGTGAGCTTGAAAGAATGAGTGTCGTATCTGTGCCTAGCGGTTTTAGGTAGTTTTACACATGAAATACAGAGATGGAAGTTGCATTTCATACAACTCAAGAGAAGAGGCTACGAGATATACCACAACCCTGGCAAGAGCATGTACCTCCTTTGTTGGAGTGGAGGGGGTCCTCATGAGCCTCGTGCGTAACAGTCTGAAGCCGAGATTCAACTGAGGTCAACAAAGAAGACACATTGCTTAAAATGGTATGAAACCCTTGGTTTGTGGCCTGCACATGTAACACTGAAACTTACTGTCAGTAAATGGAGACTTTGGGAGGAGTGTGAGCTGGTGTCGGTGAATCATCTGTTGAGGTAATTGAGCACATCTTTTGTAGAGAAAGAAATTACATGACTCTTCTCGCTGTGTGCACCTATAGAAGGGATCGGTAATGGGTTGCTTGTAACCGTCACAAGTAATATTTCTTTCATCCTCTGCAACCTCATCACTTAAGGCGAAGAAATGCTGATCCTGACTGAAGTGCTCTACAGAATTTGTCTTGAAAGTGTGTTAAAAAAAAACCAGGTAAGCATAAGGGCGTGTTGTGGGGGGTTATTTTCATGTGCCGTGGTATTGACGTGCAGTCGCTATGGACGAAGAGCTGGCAGATGCTAAACATGTCGCAGCTGTTGCGAAAGCAAAATGAGTCAAACTCGTAGTCTTCAGTCAAATTTTCACCACAGACAGACATCGCACTTAGATTTCATTTTATTCTGTATGATGGTGAATTTGTGGTCGTAAAAGTCTCTTAGTATCATGCGTGGATTGGAAGTACACTTGAGGTTGAGGTTGAATTACACTCGGAACACCCATAAGAGAGAAGCTGGAGTTGCTGCAGTTTTGGCCACATGCAACACAACAGCATCGTTCTGTGGTAAGAATAAGTGGGTGTTTGGGGTGCAATGGGTGCAGAGTTTCAGGGGGTAGCTCTGCACATGATTTATGGAGAATGAAGGGGAAAACGCCGCTACATTGGTTGGAAATGTAGCTAGGGCCTAACACGTGGTCCTCACAGGCATTGCAGAAGTCGTGTTGGACATTTTTCTGCTCTTCTTTGAAGATCAATGGATGCTTGTGACTAAAATGTTGAAGCTCCATCGATCTCTCTTCAGAAGCAGTACACACAACACACACACAAATATATATATATATATATATATATATGTTAGCATAAACCTTATAAGCCATGCTCGGTAAAGCTTTCGTTATTTATTACTTAAAGTTGTTATTCTTAGTTGTCACCTAAGCAAAGAATCCAAAAGTGCCTGCTGATAGGGGGAGAGCATTCTGTGCAGTGCATCTTAAGTTGTATTTTCTTTGTGAAAATCTGAAGTTAACTATACATGACTTGATTGATGTATGATTAGTCGCACAGATGGTAGAAAGTTTTGAAGGCACATAAAATAACCATGGCATTTGATATTTAATATTTGAGTTGAATAACTGCAGTGACAGCCACCTGAGAGCTAGGAATCAAATGTCGTATCAGCCAAAAGCCTCTTTGACGCTGGAATGAGGAAATGTCAAAGCTGTAATGAACTTAACAGAGTTAAGGTAACTGGCGAAAATGTGCACAAGCTGTTGAAATGAGAGTCGCGAGCACAAATTCGCTATCCATCAGAAGCAAACGAATTTTACTTGCAATTCTGTGTCGTAAAATGTAAGGACATAGTCTGCTTTTGTTGCAATTTCCATCTTTTCGTCTGCAATGAAGGCACTTTATTTCCGTGACATTCAAAACAAATACGCACACACTCCAGTCCCTCTAACTAGACATTATAAGAACAAAAATCAGCAACAACAAAACTCAGCATTCGGAACCCTGCATATTTGAGAAGAGAAATCACATAGGAAAAAAAAAAAAGGAATGACAGTAGAAGAAAAATGAAACAGTATTTACCTGAGTTCCATCCAAACCCTGCGTATTTAGAAACAGATATTTTCTGCTTTTCTGTCAACTGCATGACACCCATGCCGAATGAAATAAAGATGTATGGGAACAAGAAATTTTTTTTTAAGGAAAACAATTGCATCATTTGGGTGTTTCATAAATCATCTTACTCTCAGGAAACATAAAGTTCAATTACATAGCACAATCAAATCACAAACAAAACATAAACTGCATCTGGAAACTTGCCCCAGTTGAGGATTACTTGCAGGCCTAGTCGACCATAGCAGGAGGGTCCTTCGTAAACTTAGGGCATTCCATAACTTCAACATCCACTAGACCTGGCAATTCAATCCCAATGCTCGTCAACTTTGGCAGTTCCAACAGATACACTGTCCTTAACTTTTTTAATGTATACTTAGATGGTGTATCACATTCAACCAAAGTTTGCAATCTATAACAAAATTGCACATGGAGAATTTCGAGGTTTTCTGGAAGCTGGGATGAGGGAAAGACATTCACAATCATTGGACAACAATCTAGAAACAAATGTTTAAGATTCTTAAAGCACTTTGGTTCTGCATTCCCATTGTATAGACTTCTCAACTTCGGAAGGTTTGAAAACCATAGAATCTCTAAACTTCTCCCCAGTCTGACATTTTCCTCGTCTCCACAGAGAATGCTCTCAATTTTACTGCATCTCTCTATCCAACAGCCCTTCATTACCTCCACAACGTCAGCACCTAAATCACATAGGCAACTTATAATGTCATTGTCAACCAAAGATATACAGTTGGAATGCTTGAGGACACTTTCGAAACCATGAGGAAGACTATATGATCCATGGATTTCCAAAGACCGATCATGCTCTTCAGGAAAACACAAGTGTCTGGTGCTTGAGTACACATCTTTGACAATTTCATCTTTGCAGCAGATGATATCTCCATCTTCACCTTGCTTCTTGGTTACAAAGAAACAAAATCTTTTGAACTTTGTTTCCCACACCTTGGGATTTTTGTCCAAAAACTGAAAAATTTCCGTTCCACTTACAGATATGGAAGGTTTGTCATTGTCACAAAAGATATCAGCATGCTCGAAGATACCACATTGATCCCAGTTGACCTCTTGTGGTATACGCCCTAACTTTCCAACATCGAGATCATGCATACTCCTCACATCTGGAAGATAAAGGCACTTTAAACTAGTCAATTGAGATATCTCATAGGGAAATTTTTTCATTCTGTTTCCTGAAAGATCCAGAACCTCCAGACGACTAAGTGATCCTAGCAGCTGCAACTCTTCTATCCGTGAACAATCTTTCAACAAGAGCTGGACGAGGTTGCTAAAAGTGTTTAGAGGTGGCAGACTCCCAATTGCTGTTCCAGAAAGATCAAGAATCTCAAGCAGTGTTAGTGCTTCAAGGTTTTGCACCGTTTCCAGCGACGAACAACCTTTTAGTGCGAGTTGTCTGAGGTTGGTGAGTCTGGACATGGACGGTAGCATTGTAAGTGGGATTCCACATAGGTTGAGAATTCTAAGGTCATGCATATGCTCCAAGAACCCAGCTTCAAAGTCAACTAAAGAAATGGCACCACATAGATCAAGTTCCTCAAGTTTTGACAGATGTTCAAGAGGAGGGAGCTTTTTTAGGTTGCTGCAATTTCTGAGTAAGAGATGACATAAGATTCTGGCTTTGGGAAGGGAAGGTAGAAACTCAATTTTAGAGTCTGAGAGGTTGATTGTACGAATGCATGACATATTTTCAAAGGACTTTTCATGTATTCCTTTCAATGCCGTACAACCTGAAACGTCAAGAATCTCTAATTTTTCAAGGGCATTCAGGTGGGGCAAATCAACCAATGCCACACAACCAGAAAGATTGAGAGCCTGGAGTCTGAGAAGGCCCTCCATCGCAGGCAGTTTCTCTAGAACCGTACAGTCCATTAACAGGAGTTGGCGAAGGTTAACTAGGTTGGACAAAGATGGTAATTCTTTTACTTTGGCTTTCGAAAAGTTGAGAACTCGAAGGAACCTCATATGTTGTAAGGATTTGTCTTCAATTTCAGCCAGATTTCTTGAGCCGGAAAGGTCAAGCTGTTCAAGCTCTTTAGTTGCTCCTATGGGGGGCAGTTTTACAAGCTGAGAACAATCTCTTAAGACAAGATCAGAAAGGTTTCTTACACTTGAAGGCAGACCACTAATTTGAGTCTGAGATAAATCAAGGACTTTAAGGCCATCCAATGGTTCTTTTTGTATTTCTTGTAAACTTGTAGCATCCGAAAGATCAAGAATTTGAAGCTGAGTTAGTGTGTTCAAGATGGGCAGTCTTTTTAAGCTTCCGCAACCAGCTAATAGAAGCCGAGTGAGATCACCAAGATTGTGAAGAAAAGGTAGGCGACTAATTTGGGAATTGGAAAGATCAATTAACTGAAGTTTCTTAAGCGGAGCAAAGGTTTTGTCTTGAAACTTTTTGAAAGATGTAGCACCATGAAGATCAAGCACCTCGAGGTTTTCAAATGATTTCAAGCTTGGAAGCTCTATCAATTGAGAACAACCTCTAAGGATGAGCCACCGTAGTTCAGTTTTTTGAAAGAGAGATCCAGGTAGTGATTTGATATTGGCACCAGAAAGGTTAAGGCTTCGAAGGTGAGGCATGTCTGTGAAAAGATCGTCATCGATTTTCTCCAAGCAGGTTGCACCAGATATCTCAAGAACATTTAAGTTTTTAAGTTCTCGGAGACGAGCAATTTTCTCTAAGAGATCACAGCATCTGAGCACAAGAATAGAAAGGTTCTTTAAGCTAGTCAAGGACAAGGGTAGAGATCTGAACCTGGGATTCAATATAGTTAATATTCGGAGCTCCTGCATTGGTTGAAAATATTTTTCAGGGACTTCTCTACTGAGGCAGCGTCCATCCATCACAAGTGTAGAGACTTTTCCCCAGGTTTTAGCACTGCACGGCGATTTTATCATACCATCAGTGTGTGTAAGCCTCCCAAGACCTTCCCACTTGGAATTTGCAAACACATTAACCAATCCCATGCTTGCAGTCCCAGTAAACCCACGACAGCGGTGATCAGCTATATTTGAAAAGATTCCTTCCATGATATTATCCTCCTGGCGTCTTAGCATGCCACGATCTATAAGATCCATCAGAACGCGATGTCCTTGCTCATAGGCTTTCTCGATATGATCAATGCATCCAACATACCCTTCCATTATCCAATGAGTGATCAACTCTTTGTAATGCAGACAGACATTATTGCTGAAAAATTGCTTGCTATGCCAAAAACAGTCTGCCCGAACACCGCTTGGCAATGTGTCATACCAAGCACGATGTAGCAGATTTATTGCAGCTCCCTCATCATCAGCTGCTGCTTCCGAAACACTTTCCAATGACCAAACCCCAGAACCAATATGTTCAACATAATTGAATGCTTTTGCTATTGCGATGATTTCACTAGGCATGGACTTTCTCATCTCCACAATCACCTTGGATAACATTTCAAAGCCCGGAGAGTCGGAAATTACTTTCTTGATATTTTCTTTCAATAAAAGCTTGGACTCTTGTGTAGACAATTGATCTACGTTTATGCTGTGCAGCCATGTGTGGATGGTCTGAATTGCTCCATGCTCCTCCTCTGCGGTGTGCTTTTTGTCACCATCATCTCTAGTTATTAAAACCTTAAAAGAACTCATATCATTCAAACCCAGCAGCTTCTTCAGTTCTGAGATAATGTCTTTCACAGACTGCTCGTAAGGAACATCATCCAGAATTAGTAGAAAATATTTGTCTTCTTTATGTGCTGCGGATATCAATCCTTTAAGCTTGATGGCTTTTCTTTGTTTCAATTCCAGCCTCATGTTCTCCTCCTCCTCGTCACCATTATATTCCTCATGAATAGAGATTAGAGATAGCTGGCCGGCAATGTTCTCAAGTAGAGAGCTGCTGTCATATTGTTTATCCAGATACACCCATAGACTGTCATGGATTAAGTCTCTCTTCATGCTTATCTCTCTTGCCGTCCACGTTTTCCATTCTCCACGCATACCATCAAGAACAATTGTTGTTACACCATCATTCTTCAGCGGCTCCAGTATCTTTTCTATCCGTTCCTTCAAACCTAAAGCCATTTCTGACTCCAAAAATTAAACAAAAAGAGTCTCAGAAGAAAGTAAAATAGCAGAGTTATCAGCACCAAGGAAAAACGAAACCAAGTACAATCAGATGTTCACATACCTAATTCTTCAGTGCAAGCAAACGCAAATGCTTCCTTGAAAAGTTAAAAGAAACTCCGTTTTCCCCTCACCGGAGAGTAGCTAAAATTGGAATGATACCAGGTTTGCAGCTTCGGGGCAGCCTGCATTGAATTGAGTCATTCATTAGCTTGCTAGATGGTAGATGGTAAACCACGAATCAGCAATTAAAAAACAAAGAAATTTTTTTGTTCAACTATTATATGTCATGGAATTGCAAGGTTTCGGGTGAATATTAAAGCTTGGTTAAATTGAATTATATGGTTCAGAGATTTCAAAGGGAGCTTATACAAAATTACAAATATGTACAAAGCCACACAAGTACTTTGATAACTTAGCAATTTATTCACCATTTGTATCGAAATTTAAAGAATTGTGGATCCGAAAAATAGAACCATTTTATATTTGAAATAAACGGAGTATCCTTTCTTGATCTAGAGAGCTCAAACTACAATATGATGATAATAAAGAAGTTGTCCTGAATTTTAGAATATCACTATAAAGAAAGTAACAAAAAAAACATTAACACATGAGCCAGTTTTCGGCATATCGAATTAATTCATGTTAAATACAATCCATAATATGAAATTTGGTCGTAAACATGTGTCTGAAATCTATGTGAATGAACTTACGTAAAAACCTTTGAAGAAATATATTTACGGTGGCTTTGTCTATGGAGGAGATAGCCTCGCACACCACGGCAGTGCACTGCAAATGGAGATGGCCACCACCGTCAAGCTGTCCAAGTAACTGAAGCTGGAGAGGAAGGAGGCTGTGGACATTTGAAAATTGCTGAGAAAACGCACCATTACGTTATAAAAGAAATTTTTATTTCCTAGCAAGTGATATTGTAATTTGAAAACGCGCCATTAGGTTTTAAAAAGAAATTTATATCTCCTTCTAAAGCTACAGCAATGTCACCAAGCTCAAGTCACATGACCGCTCGAGTACTTAATCTTTTGATGCTTGGGTCGGCTGCTACCGGTCTTGTTATTTTAGGGAAGACTTTGGATTCGGTCTCTAGTAACTAACACTCTTTAACTAAAACTTTAATGATATTCAATTTTTCATCATAGTCCCTTGACATTGAAAACCTCATTATACTAATATTAATATGCATATTTCTATATGTTTGACGTTTATGAGATTTATAATCCCATAAGTGCTTGTATATATATGTGGCATATAAATCCTAGATTTAAAGTCCCTCATTATATTACAATGTAATAATATGAAAGGCTACAGTAAAAAAAATTCAAAATGAATAAATGATAAAAACAATGTAATAATATGAAATTATAAATAGCAAAAGAATGTATCCATAGTGTTAAAAAATTATAAATTAATAAGCTATATAGTAATGTACCCAAAAATTCATATGGATACATTATTTTGATTGAAATTTTATTACATCAAAATCTTTGAATAAAATTTTATTAATTTGAATACTTTAATTGAAAGACAAAATATTGAATTTTAGTATTAATTTCTCCCTATAATCTTACAAAGATTGATAATTCGTCTAACACTTATCAGATTTGTCAGTTTTACACAAAATAAATGTTTTATTTTATATTTTTAAATAAGGGTACATTTGAAATTGAAAAAGGGGTACATTTATAGATTTTACATTAAAAAATTTGGTTCATTTTAATAAAAAAGGGTACATTTACAAAAAAAAAAAAAAAAAAAAAAATAGGTACATTTTACATATAAAGAAGTGGTACATTTTATAAAGTAGAATGGGTACATTATGGGTAAATTATGGGTACAATAAAAAATAAAATTAAAAAAAACTACAACTAAATCTTTTAAAGAAAATCGCACAAAAAGAAATTAATATATGGGTGCAACTTAAAAATAAAAAGAAATTTAGTACAAATTTAAAAAAGGGTTACAAATTAAAATTGGGTACAAACTAAAAATAAAAATATATGATACAATGTATAGCCATAAATATAAATATACCAAATGTAATGTTTCTAATACTAAATTAATATATTTTAGAAATTTAATTTAATATGCTAATATGTAAATATTTTATTATTGAAATAATGACATTCATTAAAACCTAAGGACCTTGATAAAAAAGTTGCAAGAAATAATCCATAATCTGAAATTTGGTAGGAAACATGTGTCTAAAGTCTATAGGAATGAACCTACGTAAAACCCTTGAAGAAATATGTTCACGGCGTCTTTGTCTATGGAGGAGATAGCCTCCCACACCACGGCAGTGCACTGCAAATGGAAATGGCCACCACCGTAGTAACTGAAACTACAGAGGAAGGAGGCTGTGGACATCTGAAAATTGCCAAGAAAACGCACCATGACATTGTAGAAAGAAATTTATATCTTCTTCTAAAGCAGAAGCAATGTCACCTAGCTCAAGTCACACGACCGCTCGAGTACTTAATCTTTTGATGCTTGGGTCGGATGCTACCGGTCTTGGTATTTTAGAAGAGACTTTGAATTTGGTATCTAGTCACTAATACTCTTTAACTAAAACTTTAATTGTATTCAATTTTTCATCAAAGTTCCCTTGACTTTGAAAATCTCATAATATCAATATTAATATGTATATTTCTATAAGTTTGACATTTTTGAAGTTTATATTCCCATTTTGTGTGTGTCTATATATGTGGCATATAAATCCTAGATTTAAAGTCCCTCATTAATTATATTACAATTTAATAATATGAAACAGCTACAGTAAAAAAAATTTCAAAATTTTTTATTGAATAAATGAATAAAAAAAATTGTAATAATAAGAAATCATAAATAGCAAAAGAATGTATCCATAGTGTTACAAAATTGTATATAAGCTATATAGTAATGTACCCAAAAATTCATATGGATACATTATTTTGATTGAAATTTTATTATACCAAAATCTTAATATAAAATTTTATTAATTTGAATACTTTTACTGAAAGACAAAATGTTAAATTTTAGTATTAATTTCTCCCCATAATCTTACAAAGATTGATAATTCGTCTTACACTTATCAGATTTTTTAGTTTTTCACAAAATAAAATGTTTTATTTTATATTTTTAAATAAGGGTACATTTGAAGTTGATAAAGGGGTATATCTATAGATTTTACATTAAAAAATTGTGTTCATATTTTAGAAATTTCTTATATTAAATTAACAAGGGTACAAATGCAATGTTTCTAATACTAAATTAATATATTTTAGAAATTTAATTTAATTATTCTAATATGTAAATATTTTATTATTGAAATAATGACATTCATTAAAACCTAAGGATCTTGATAAAAAATTGCAAAGAAATAAGATTTTAATCAATGAAATATAAAAAAGAGGGATGAGAACCTAACATTTCCTTATTTTAGTGTTTATTGATTCGTATTTTATTTATCCTCGTTTTTTTAAATGAATCTCAAACTCACACCGAAAAAAATTGTTAGGTGGTATAAATGTATTCTTAATTGTAGACCAAATTTAAATGTTTTCAATTAATTTGTACTAATTGTTGAGGTCTTAATTCCACGATATAAATTTTTGTTTGGTTTTTCTTAACCAATCTCTGTTCAACCGCATCATGATACTACAAATCTCTAAGAAATTAATACAAAAATTAAGCAAATTTACACAAGAAAACAGTACAGCTTAATTGTCTTTTTATCACCTAATAAAAAGCTCTCACAATCAAACTAGCATACGGGCACATACAAAATATGTAAGAAATTTTTATTTTTTATTTTTTTCTTGAAATAGAAGGAGAGAGGAAGAGAGTGATAGAGAATGTGAGAGTGGGAAGTTTTTTTTTTTTTTTTTTTTTTAAATGGAAATGTGTTAGGATTATATGCAGATGAGGTTTTCGAAAAAAAAAAAAACAAAACAAAATTTGGTTGTGTGAAATTAAATTTCTGTCTCATATTCCTTATTCATGTTTTGTTTTAATTAGAGAGTTAAACTGGTAATTTCATAGAATTTTGATTGATAATGAATGTTTTATTAATTAGTAGAAAAGAGATAACGACAGCCACAAGCACCAAATTAACACTTAAATTTTTAACCAGATGAAAAGACATAATCGTGCACAAAATAATGAAGAAAGTTAGAAAGAGCAAAAACCTGATGGTGGAGTTGAAACTGTAAGTCTGAGAGTTGAAAACCAAGCTCTGCACGACAACGCTAAGGAGACCAGCTTGCTTTAATTTTTAATCTTGTTTTCAGTATCGCTATTTCTTCTGAACAAATAACTTTGGTTAACCCCTCCAGTTGGTTTTTGCTTAAATGTTTAATCTTGTTCTCGGTATCGCTATTTATTCTGAACAAATTTGGTTAACCCCTCCAGTTGGTTTTCTTTTCTTTTTTTTTTTTTCCCTTTTTGCTTTTCCTTTTCTTTAGTTGCAATTTTGGAATTTTTTTCCCTTCTTCCTTTTCCTTTTCTTTAGTTACAATTTTGGAATTATTTGGCGTAAAATCCAAATATTTTGGATTCCTCCTCTTTTCCAAAGTTTTATACTCGGCGTCTTGTCTGGTTGAAGAGAAATTCTCATGGCTGGGCCTTGTTAATCTCTTAATTTTAGACCTTAAACAACCATTAGACATTTGTTACGAAGTGAATAAACAACCTGTTGTTGCCTCATCCTTTTGGACATTAAAAAACCGAACAGGAAATTGCAGATTCCTTATTCTTATGCACTACTTGGTTCGTGTTTCACTTTGAGTTTCAAATATGCAGTAGAAAGAGTGGACAATGTTTCAGACTTCTTTGGACTTGATATTTTATAGTCCAACTCAAAAAGAAATGGGAACCAGGGTTTCTATTTTGATCCGCGGAACGATTGAACTAAAACTAATTGGCTTTAAGAAAAGAGGGATTGAACAATTCATATTTCAGTTACTGTTGTTTCCTACATTTTCATGTTCTCTGATGTGTATACACTTGTATACTAAGGCCTTTATCTCTGTTTTTCTTCTGCAGAATTGATGCAGATCAGTAGAGATTGGATTTGAAGATCTAAATTTTAGCAGCTCTGACGATTCGATACGTTTCTTCTGGCATTGTGGAACAGGAACAAAGCGTGCAATATAGGAATTATTTGGCAACGCACATAAGTGAGTGACAAGGCTGCCTTGCCAAACAAATGCCAAAGGTGATTTACCTGTACAACTATTTAGCTGATGCCTTCCATTTCATACCTTTTTTCTGGGCTATCATGTTCCCTAAATAATTGGGCTTATTTTTATTTACTTCTCTGTTCCGTTCTTTGTTGTCATATGAGATTTCTCATGACACTTAAGTAAAGTTTGATTTGGAAATGTGAACAGTACTGAGGTGAAGAGACTCATAAACTCGTTAGTCCTCCTTTCTCTGCAGTCTCCACAGCTTGTTCGTGTTTTGGACTTTCAGTTTCGAATCCACCCAACACATCAAGTATTTCTCTTTCTTCTTTGGTTTCATATATTGCGTTCTTAAACTGTCTGCATTACTTATGTAACATAAAACCCAGATGCATAAATTTCTAAATTATTTATTTTGCCAGTTGTCGTTACAATTTCGAGTGATAAGGAGTTGCATCGGCTGCTTCTATGGCTCAAGAAATTGAAAAGTACCTAATGGAAAAGTTCCGGAATGGACTTGATGGGAGAGACAAAAGTATCTCTAAGATTCCAAGGTACAGCCAATTTCAAGAAATAAAAATTTTACTTGATGACATTTTCAGCTCATCGTTGCATGATTCATCCATCAGAAATAAGCTTTACGACCTGAACAATGTTTTGGCTGAGTGCCAGATGCTTTCGAGAAAACTCGGTTTCAACTCTCCCAAGGAGCTACTCACCATAAACAGAATCAGAAGGGATTTAAACAGGATCAAGAGGGAGCTCAAGGTTATAAAGGATAATAAGAGATCATTGCATGGAAATACCGATCCACAACCTAATAATGGTCAAGCAAGCTCAAAGGGTGGAGAGCTTTCGAGGTGGACTACTCATTCACTAGATGCATCCAAGGTTTATGGATTTGATGATGATGTGATTTTGATGAAGAAGTTGCTTTTACAGCAAGGAACTGATGATCGGTTCAGGGCAGTAGGCATTGTTGGTAGGGAAGGTATAGGAAAAACAACACTTTGCCAGGTCTTATTCAACGAACAAGAAGTGAAAAACACATTCCTTCCGAGGATCTGGGTGTGCATGGCCAGACACCCGGATGACGACGACAATGAGGTTCCGAAAATAGTAATTGTCAAAAGAATGTTGATGCACCTCGGAGTTGGAAAGGAGATGGTCAAGTCCGTTTGTGAGAAGCATGGCCTCGGGGGACTGCTGTATGCTCTTCGCCTGCAATTGATCGGCAAGAGGTATCTGATTGTGCTTGACCATGCCAGGGAGACGGACTCATGGTGTGGACAGCTGGATTCGTGTTTGACTCGTGATAAGGAATGGGATGACGGCCTTGCATTTGGACTCCCAAAAGGGCATGGGGGAAGACTCATAGTCACAAGTCGGAATGAAGATATAGCAAAAATGATGGTCGGGAAGGAAAATATACATCACCTTCTGCCCCTTTCGGATCATGAAAGCTGCTGGGCGATATTCATAGACGCAGTTGGTCGGATTCCCTCCAGTCCCTCAAACTTGGAAGATGTGACAGATGATGAAGGCTTATGGGCGCTATTAAAGAACGCTGTTGAGAATAATCGGACTCCATCCAGACCCTCAAACTTGGAAGATCTGATAAATAATGAAAGCTTCTGGGTGACATTCATAGACGCTGTTAAGAATAATTGGATTTCAATTCCATCCGGTCCCTCAAACTTGGAGCATCGGGCAGATAATGAAAGCTTCTGGGAGATATTCATGGACCCTGTTAAGAATAATCGGATTCCATCCGGTCCCTCAAACTTGGAAGATCTGAAATTTGAAGTCAAAGAAAAATGTGGGGGCATTCCATTAGCATTAAATATGATGGGACAGGCAACGCAAGAATCACTTATGATCATTCGTGGCACGAATCCTTAGGGGTTGGCAAGGATGGGTCCAAACCCAATTCTTGGGACGATCGAACTCATAAAAAAATAAATCAGAACGGGACGGGTCGGGTTTTAAATTAAACCGAACTTGATCTGGCCTGTTTGAAAGGTGGTTGTCCACATTGTGGGCTCTATGTAATATGTTAATAATTTAGTTCTCATTGTTGTAAATATGAAAAATCCTAAGCCTATATATAGGCCATCTAATAAGATGAACGAGGCACTCTAATTTCTCCTCCCAATCTCTTCTTCTCTATATTTTTCTATACTTTATTCATAACACGTTATTAATAGGCTTTTGATTTTTGCATTTTTCGATTTTATATGAGCTAGAGTCATTGCATGGTTTGGAGGTTTCTTTTGTGCTCAACCAATAGACTTGATGATGCTCTTAATTTTGTTTTCGTATAACTTATTCTCATATACATGTTTTTCCACAAAGATTCTATACCATGATGATATGCACAACTTGAATGGTTTTTTTTTTTTTTCTACTCATGATTTTCTTCTTCTTCGAAAATTTCACATGCTTATAGATGCATATTTTTTTTATTGGGGAATTGTCCAAGTGTTTTTTACATGAAACCCACCACCATGAGGTTTTCTTCATACAAATGCAGTCTCATATTCCAGTTTCATATTTGATAAATTGGGTTTGAATCTCCTACACGTGCGCTCTCCTCTCATCTCTTATCCCTCCCCTCTCTCCGTCTCCACTGGAAAACCCACAATCTTTCATCTTCCTTTTCTCTTCCTTTCTCTCCGCTCCCTATATCTCCCGATGTGAAGCCCACAAACCAAGTAGTGACGTTTGAAAGCCTCAAACATGGCGGCACGAAATAGAGGTACAATGACAGTCGACAACCGCCTTCGCTGGCGATGAATTTGGCCATCAGAAAGTGTCTTATGATATGTTGATTATTCCTTTTGCATTTGATTGTGAGTATATAAATTAGGATTTTTGGGGATTTTAAGGTTTTCTGACTCTTTTTTTTTTTTTTTTCAGAATTACTCAAATCAAAACTGACTTTTCTGTTGCTGGCGACCTCTACTTGCTTGCTCCCTTTCTCAGTCAATGAGTTTATAAGACAGGTATATATTGGTTTGATGCATTTTCATTTTACAAACCATATAAGATTAAAAAATAAAAAAAAATAAAAAAAAAACAACTTATTGGCTTAATTCCTATTGTCGGATGTTTTATAATTTTATAGTGTCATTGTTTATTACCGAGTAGCCACTGTAGAGATTATCACTTCTGTCCCCAACTTTTTACTGATCTCTATCTACTTCGTCTAATTATTTAAATTTTGCTTTTTTGTCCATTGTTGGTTTTTAACACATTTTGTAATTGTGAAACAGGTATTGGATTGATTGTAGTAAGTGGGATTTTTTTTTGTTAAACATTAATCAGACCCAGACCTTTGTGTCGATGGAAGTCATTGCTGCTGGGTTAGCTAGTGGGATTTTAGTTTGCACTGGCAGATGTACATAATTTCCTTTATTGTTTTTTGTTTTGCTTTTTACCAAGGTGAATGCTGGATTTGGGGCCTTAAGAAGTGAGAGAGCACAAAAGCCAGTAGCTCGGTAAGTGTTATTTTTATCCCTAGCTTTTTTTTGCTGAGTAGAGGCTTTCTTTTCCTGAGAAAAAACCCTGAATCCATTCAATTGCAAACCCTAAATCCATTACTGAAAAACAAAATATAAAAATTAGTTGTTGAAATTTGTAAAGGGGTTGTGATGGCAGCAAGTAGTAATAGGGTGTCCATTTGATTCAACAAGAAAGTGGTCGATCCCCTCCTCGAAATCCTCCGCAGGCACCCTTTGCTCTCTCTCTCTCTCTCTCTCTATCTCTCTCTCTCTTATTTTGTTTTTCTATTTCAGATTCACACATTTTCTTTTTTCTTTTTTGTTTGATTGATTGATAATGGTCCAACAATTTTTTTCTTAAAAAGTCATACTTCATTGGTACTTTTATTTGGCGGTTGTTGAGAAATAAAGAAAGTTCTAAAATTTGATTTGGATTTTTGAAAGGGTGCAGAACCTAAGTTGTTGGCCTTCTCTGCATCTATTTGCCTTACCATTGGATTATTTCCAATATGCGTTACGTATATATTGCTCAAGTTTTCTGGGAAATCTAATATTGTTTGTGAATTATGGTTGTATATTCATTGTTGGTTTAACTTCCTCACCTTAGTTAGTAAAGTTGAGACAGACAACCAAGTCCTCAGGTCTCTCTCTGTGCATGCATGTATGCATACATAATTTATGTATGTATGTGGTTGTACCATACTTGACCAATCCTAAAACTACTGAGCACCGGTCAACGTTATATCGTCAAGGACCCACAAAAGTTTCCCTCTAACGAAGAAGCCAATCAGAATGCAACACATGTCAATGTCAAAGGCCAATCACAACGCGACACGTGTCAACATTAGAGGCCAATCACAACATGACACTTGACACTTGTCAAAGTCGAAATAAAGCTAGAAACTCTATTCTATAAAAGGAGATCATTCTCCCACAATAATCCCTAATATCATTTGTACTAAATCATTCACTAGAACTCACTAAAGAGAGCTTGAATTTATGTATTTGTGTAAACCCTTCACAATTAATGAGAACTCCTCTACTCCGTGGATGTAACCAATATGGGTTAACCATATATATCTTGCGTTTGTTTCCGTGTCTCTGCCCATTTACATACTTATCCACACTAGTGACCAGAGCAATCTAGCGAAGGTCACAAAAACTTGACACTTTCTGTTGTACCAAAGTCCTCACTGATTTTGTGCATCAACATGTGGCGCCGTCTGTGGGAAGTACTTTTATTCCTACTTTCTCCAGCTTTGTCAAGCTGGTTTCCACCATTCGTACACTCTCTTTTGACCAGGCATCCCTCTCCAACATGAAGAGCAAAGGGAGCCACAACATGCAAAACGAGACACCCCACTCGTGCTTAGTACGAGGCAACAAAAAAAAGAACAAAATAAGTGTGCTCTTCAGGCTCAAGTCGATAAGCTGGAGGCTCAAAACAATAAGATAGTGATGAAGAATGAGATCCTCCAAGAGCAATATGAAAAGGTATTCGAGATGCTCCACGAGGCTAGGCATACTCAAACACATGAGCTCATCGCCCATGTCGAAGTCAACCATCGTCTGAGTGCCCCCCAACACAAAGGGTCACTGGTCTTCAACATGGAAATTCCTGATGAGGAGCGTGTTACTTATCAATGTGTTAATCAACATGAAACTTCTCTCAACCCAGGTACTTCGACCCAAAACAGGAGAAGTGGAGGAAAGCACCTCCTCGCAGAGGGAGTGGAAGGATCAAAAGTTGTTTATCGCGACTGTCAGGACTTCCTAAGGTAACGTCGAGATAACCATATCTACATAATTTCAAAGATCAATGATCCAAGGGTTTCTGAAAGACTTGGTCCCCTACCAATGCTCAGGCTAGCTACCAATCTAGGGAAGGAGTTACAGGTCTTAGAAAAACATGAAGGTATAGGGGACTCGGAGGTATTCCGACAAACATGCCTTGGAAGCCAGTACGGTAAATCCAAGGAAAAACCACATGCCTTCGATCAAACGTCCTTACTTCCAAAAGACGACGGAGACTTACGAAAGAATGCTTCAATAGTACATGACTCCATTCAGGACCCCCTTGTCCTACAGCTCCTTGAGGAAGTAAACAAGTTGAAGGCTGAATGTCAGGCCCAGATACCTAACTAGAACCAACCCAGGCCTGGCCGTCTTACAAGGAGGATCCTTGACACCCCCTCCAAGCGAAAACAAAGCAAAATCTCGGCTTATAACTCTATACAGGAAGAGAGGACCCGATTGAACACCTTAACCTCGTTGAGTCCACCATGGTATATCAGATGCACACCGATGAAGAATGATGCCTTCTCTTCCCCTCCACCCTTTTTGGCAGAGCTCTAAACTAGTATTGCCATCTGCTACCTAAGACAGTAAACTCATTTGAGGAATTGAGGAAACTGTTTGTCTCTCAACACATCTTCCAGACCGATCGTTTGCATTTTGCAAATGATTTGTACATTATTCGCCAGAAGCCGGACGAATCACTACAAAAGTATGTCAGCTGCTTCAGCCATGAGTATTCTCACTGCGCTGAGGCAGATGACAAGATCGCCCTCAAGGTGGCCTACGTGACTATTTCTTCAAGTACATGATCAATGCCAACACTTGGAAGACTTACTTTGAGGTGATGGCACCTGCTTACAATCATGCCTCCACCGAATTTCTTCAGCCGGTCAAGCTTTCTCTTCATGCTCGTAGAGTAGTTATGTGCAAGCATGTGCAACTGTCTATTCTCGTGCTTGAGCCATCTGATCTCCTGTTTGAGACTTGCTACCTCAGCCACCAATGATTCAACTTGGCGGGTTCAAGCAAATAGGCATTGGCCCATATTAGACATAAAACCCGCACACTAAACACTAAGAGCCATAGAATCCTTAACAGCCAACTCATCGGACCGTTTGGAAAGTATTTTGCTATCTTTGGGAGTGAGAAAATTCTTGGCCACCACCGCAGCAGTCATTTCATTCTTCATCACAGAGTCCCTAATGGTAAGAGGACCAGTTAGGGATAGGAAGGATAAGCGCTATATGTTGTCTTGAGGAGACATGGATGCCTCTTCCACAACATTCAAGTCAAAACAACGATCGGATGGGCCATACATTTTCAAAAATGATGAAGGAAAAATGAGGTCCAATAAATCTCAAAGGTACAAAAATAAGGGGGAAATTTCTACAAGGAGTAAATTTCTGAACGTACTTCGTAAACACAATTGTTGCCCTTATAAAAGCAAGGACAACATGGCTGCTTGTTCAAAAATCGAAGAGGCACCACTCTCCGAATTTTGAGTGCCAGATTTCCCTGGATAAACTTCATCGACAATCTTCACACGCAACAACAGCTTCTCGAATACCACAATTAACTTTGTCAAAGATCTCTAACAAAGTT